GAGGTAACCTGGGCTCGTGTGCAAACCCCCTGGCCACTCTTCCTATCCTATTTTAAACCTTATCGTTATTTTTTATTGGTTATCGTTTTACAGGGGAACTGTCGAATACTTCTGGAATTGTAAACCTTATCCTTTTTTGTGTATTGGTTATCGTTTTGCAAGGGAAGCAGCAAATAGGACCGCTCTTGCATAAATTCTGACGGGGGGGTTCTTACCCAAACCCACATGCAGTTTCAACATGTTTCAACAGGTTGGACCATTGTCTGAATAATGCTTCTGCATCACAACTTCGGGGCTGTCCTGTGTGGCCAAAAAACCTTGAGCCAATATCTTGATCCAAAATGGCCTGAGCCGTAACGGAGGGGGTTAACGAGAGATAAGCCCATCAGCTGAATGACCAGCGAGGCCGGCGGATTTGTGCGGGCAGTTGGCCTTTGACTTTACAAAGCACCAACCTCCCCGTCGCGTCTGAAAGCCCTGCCCGCTGCCACAATTTCCTGCCCCTGGCAGGCGCGCGGTACACATCCCCGCGTGTTCCGGCAAGCCAGATCTGTGCAGAGGGTTGGTGATAAGCCGAATTCTTACGGAAGGCAAAGTCGATTTTCGACGCGAGTTGAGCCATCAAACAATCCGCCACTACTTGGCCGAATTCCAAAATTATTTCCATTTCCAGAGCCACAGCTCAGTAACTTTCCTCTGGCACATAGTTTTTAAAATGCTCAATTGTCCGATTGCGTCACGAATGACCACCCACCTTCCTGTCACGACGTCCCGAGACGTTGCGCCTGTCACAGTTCCAGGCTTTGACATCTTGCGAAGCGACCCTGTCCGGGCAAATTGGCAGGCTCTGCCAGGCTGCCACTACTCCTCCTACGGCTATCTACTGCTGCTCCTACAGTCCTACAGTACTGCTACTTCTGCTTCTTCTGTTGCTACCGACAGCAACGACAAGTTCGACAACGCATCCTGCCTGTGCCACTTTGAGTCATGATTAAACCTAAATGCCCGACCCCCTTCTGGCTCACACCGTCCAGTTTTGCCTGGACTCCTAGACGACAAAGGTACCAGCAGAGACAAGGACCCGCCTCACAACATGCATTTCCCACACACCCCGTGCAAAGGAGGCAAAGCGTTCTGCGGCTTCCAGCACACAACAAACCTAACTAGAACTAAACAACGCCAAGTTGCCACCGCCAGCTTCCTTGCTGCACTTCCTCGAATTGGGTTTGCGTGCGTTGAACGCGGCCTCCAAGTCTTCAGATGTCGAGCCTTGCCATACAGTCAAGCCAGCAGCACGACATACACACACACACACACACACGCGCACACACACACACACACACACCGAAGTCCTACACGTTTTTTTTTTCCCTGGTGATCCTCTGATGCTATCAACAGCGCCTGTGCTCAATCTACGGAAGCTGTGCCGCCGCTCGCTCGAGAGTACCTGGAAGACTGGCGCACATGAGCATGCAAGAGCATTGCATCCACAAACCAGGAGTTGCACGCGGAAAGCTCCATCACCGTATGGGGCAGGGCCCACATAATCCTCGCATCTTGTCTTCCCGGCACCTTGAGAAAGACCCAATTCACTGTTCACAAAATTTCACAGCATGGTCTAAAAGAAGACTCGGTAAGACCTTTGCATTGGCGTCGGTCGCCAATATGAGATCTTTGCTCCCCCCGGGTGTAGGTTCCAAAACGAAAGCCGGCTCCTTCAACCTCAGCTGCTAGCTGCTAAATCTGCTAACAGCTGCTTACATCTTAGCTCACCCAACTTTTGCTTTACATGAAGCGACATGCACATAGAGACGCCAGTTGCGGTTGGCCTGAGCACGCGGCATCTGGAATTGCAGCTGGATTTGGTTCGCCGTGCAACTTGGCTCACACTGGCTCACATGCAGGTCAACCATGCCTGCCAGGCGTAATCTGTTATGGTTTGGAATTCGGAGGAAACTCATGGCTGCTCCCCGTGAATTTGCTGACCGAGGATGAGGCAAAGCCGCTGGGAAGCGTCTTGTCCTGAGAAGTGCCCACGTAGTCCTGCACTTCTGCCTTCCATCTGTAAGCGTGGTGCCCTAGGTGATGATGCGATTACGAGCCTCCTCCTGTTCCGTTTCAAGGCGCTTTTTGTCAGGGCTTGCAGATCGACCCAGGAGGACAGGGCCTACAGGCCCCGCGGCCTGACCTTGAATGCTTGGCTTGCTATGTTGTTCCGAAGCACCCGAGACATCCGAGACATCTCCAATGCTTATAAGCTTGCGTCAAGACAGGCAAGCAGGACCGCTGCAGCTTGATCCCCCATCCGTATCAGGTGGCCTGGCAGCCCGTCTTGAAGCAGCAGAGGGCATGAGTCGCCATGAGGCATGAGGGGGTGTTGCACAAGTAGGGGTTAAGTTAACAGTAAATGAATGCCTGGCTGACTGGGCTGATGGAACTGAAGGCTCAGAAAGACGCTGGGAGCGACCTCGCCTCATGCGCTACATCAACTGCACCACGCCCAGTTGTCATTCCGATTCAATGTGTGCGCCAGACTGGGGCATGGATCGTTCCTTCACCCGCTGCGCCGCATCCTGCAGGTGTGGCAGTGGCCCATTCGTAACTTGCAGTCTGGCATGGCCGCGGCAAGGCCAACCTTGGCTGCCTGGACTGCGGATCCTGAGCCACATAACGTCTATGGCACAGCAGCGCAAGGAGTGCCTTTGAGATCGCTGCGATGCACCTCCGGAATATAGAAACCACCCCCGATCCGTACCGAATACGGTTTGTGTTGCTCAGGTGGCGGAGGAGGAGCCTGATGCGTGGCAAGCAATACTCTCATATGCTCGGCAGCACTGTCCGCTTGCCAGGGCACGCCTCCACCACTCGTATGAAACACAGCTCCTGTTTGTGCAAGCCTTCGCCGAGCCGATTTACGGGAACCTGCAGGAAAACAGATCTCTAATCAAACAAACACCAACAGAAACCGAGGCAGCTGCGCTAGGACGAAACTGCAAGGAATGCGAAAGCCTCCGTGGTACTGGAACCGCTGAGGATTTCCTAACATTTCTGAGGGGGATGCCTCAAGGAAAAGAAATCACAGAGGTGCAAGCTTTTCTATCTTTTTCGAATGGGCGTCCAGCAGAGTGGGCGAGGGCTAGTTGCTGAAATGTACCACGAGTGGCTGCTGGTTGACTCTGCCCAACGCATTATCTCAGCAGGCGGCCTCAACGGACGCAGCATTGATGTTAGAGCGTCCACCAACTCTTGGGGTTGGCTTTGTCCTGGTTGTGCCCATGTGTCCCAGCAGCTCAAGGGGTCAGCTCATGAGCCATGCTGCACTCCCTGCCTTCTTCCTCTTCTTGCAGCTCATTTTCACTCATAGCTCCCTGCCTACCCCTTGCAGATTGCGTCTGACCCAAAGGCCTTTCGAATGCACGGTCAATCAATCGTCAACACCTGCTGCTTCGCTTTCTGCTTCAGCACCCGCTCCCTCTTCCTTGCGTTTGCAGAAACACCTTGCCAAAACGGATTGATCTTTCACGGCCATTGATTTTTAGGCCTGAGGTGTTTGTAAGAGACTATTCAATCTTCCGCCTGCTTACAGTTTACACGACGGATCATAAAGCATGTGCGACTGAAGAACACTGTCGCTCGCTAATCGGGTGTATGGATTAATTGAACCAGCGTATTATCACTGAATATGATCTCATGACCCTGCTATGAAATTTCCCCCTCTGCCGTTACCTTGATCTTGCACTCAGGGTATGTTTAATCGCTGTCGTGGTAGCTACCGTAGAAAGAGGCCTTATCCTTGCTGCGGGGACTACTGATTGGTCATCAGGAAAGGGATGAGCACCTGACTGCCGGGGCTAACAGAAGACTTCGCTGCCTGTCCTACACTGTATCCAGTCAAGCGGTTTCTGCGTTTTGCACGAGCCCAACAATCAATACATCATGCTTGCCGTGACGCAGTAGCGCGTGAAATGTGAAGTGCACAGCGCCGCATGTGAGAAATGCGTGTTGTCAATGGGCAGCCCTGTTGCACAGGTCTTTGATGATTGACCTGAGCAATCGTGCCAGATGTTGCTGTTGGTTCTGTTTTTGTTTACGGAGAAACAATTGTGATGCGTAGTATCCGCCAAACTTTGGGGGCGTGTTGGATGAGGGTAAAAACACTCTTCTTCTAGGGATCCTGGGGGTAGGTGGGTGGGGGTGGGGGGGGGATCCTGGTGTCCTCAGCTGATGTTTTAGGGCCGAGGATGGTTAAGGCTGGGCCCTCTTTCGAGGGCCTGGGGGCTTGGGTCGAGGCCTGGACATGCCTGGACGTCTGCAACCTGCGTGTTGCAGCACCTCAATAGCAAACACCAATCACCAGGCGCCCAGAGTCCTGCGGATTCCCAGCAGCCTTGCTTGAACTTCCCTCCCTGTCTCATGCCTAGCCCCTGAAAACATAGGGAGCGCGACAATATTTCGAATATGACGCAACGTCCTTAATTTGATCGCCGTGCTGCTGCTGCAATATCGGCTGCACTGGCGTGAAATAGCTTCCCGTCTGCCTTAGATGACTTCTGCTGCGACTTTCCCTCTCGTCTCCGTCTCGTCTCACCCTGGGGCGCATGACTGCCTCTGGGGTCGGCAGCTTCAGTCGAAGCTTTTTGTGTTTCACAGAGTCTGACCATGACTCATGGTCAGTTTTGGGCTCGACTCTCTTCAGAATCTCGAATTACTTGTTCCCCCTTAAGTAGATAGAATTTGGCTTTGGGTATATTATAATAAGATCCCCATATACCCCCATATTCTATCTACTTCAGGGGGACTACATTAGCTACCTGAGTGCCGTGTTTGTTGCAGCTGGCCGTTTGTTGTTGCTTGGTGCAGCTTTTCTTCAGCCGCACCCCCATATCACATTGGGTTTTATGTCGGGATGAAAAGATGTAGAGCCGTGAGCCCTCAACTCGGAATCCGATGCTTCAAATCATACCTTCGGGTCAATGATGGGAACAAGGTTTGGCCTCCTGAGGCTTGCGTCCGCGTGAGCTGCCACTAAATGATGACGGTCCAAGTTCCCCACAGAACTGCTGACAGGATGGCCATGAAATGGCAGGAGGCCGCTTGCTCCGCGACCCTGAGCCTTTGATGATTTTTGGAGTAGACTTGCGCTTGGGCAAGTCGTCTTCGAGCTTTGCCTCAAACCAAGGAACTTTTGAAGGTGGCTGGATTGGGGTGGACAACTCCCGTCAACCAGCACCGGCAACGATTGCTCAATAGGAAAACCCTAAACCATACTAAACCACTATTACACGGTGGGGGTCCACCTAAATTGAAGTCTCGGTAGCTCAAGTAAAAAGGCTGTAAAAACAAACTCCACAGGCCCGCCACCAAACAAAACAAGGGCTGCGCAACTTCGCACAATTCGGCACCCAGACGAACCAGAAGGTGCTGAATCATTTCGCCCACACTTTGCATGCTTCAGAACCTCCACACTAAGCGGGATGCGACATTCAGGTACATGGGATCATGCAGGAATTATTCATCCATAGGATGTTAGGCTTGACCCAAACAATCTTAAGCATCTATACAGTACAAAAGGAGGCCTTCTATGCCACGAGCTTATTATCCTGTTTTGCGCAAGTATCCCCCTTGCACAGGCCCCAGATACCCAACTATCACAGTAGGGGCCCATACTTCTAACCTTAGATAAACCCTATGCAAATCTCAGGGCTGGAGTGCTGTGGGTTGAGCTCAGCACAATCCAGTCCCACTGTTTCTTCAAGGTAGATTCATAGGGGTTGATCAGTGCCCAACAAGTGGCCAGTCACGAATTGAAAGCCCTGATTCGGGATCATTGGAATTTGGGCGTGGGTTCTATGAATCTGTTTGGGAAGTGCATATCTGGCGGGGGGAGCATGGTAGTGCTATGTAGGTTCTGGCGCGGCGTAAGGCAATTCTCAAGTTTGTTCTCCCACTCGTCTGGCTCCTCAGCACGATGTTCTAGAAGAGACCTTCATACTCCTTTTCGGGTTTCCAGACATTAAGAATGCAAACTGCTTGGTTGGCCTTTAGAAGCTGATTGGCACCTGGGGGACAATGACTGGAACAAAAATGACAGCACAAAATGTCAAGTCAGAAACAGTTGCAGCAAACAGCCTTTGGTCTTCAAAGCTGCAAGGTGCCCGATGCACATCTTGCTGCATAGCCCCACACTGCACACCCGTGCAACAAAAAAGCGAGGTCATTCTCTGCCAGACTATGTATCGACTAGCATGTACATGCAGATTTAGCGAGAGTGTTACTGCTACATACTCCATCATAAAATGGCTAAGCCCCACGAGCCTGGTCGGGTCCGGGCTTCCTGGTGAAAGTGCAGGAGTCATGTCATGTCCTATGTGAGAGAGTCAGTACTTTCAAAGTGATCTTGGCCTGGCGATGCCTGGTGCCTGTCTTCAAAAACCGTACCCAGACAAACTGGTTGGGCCTTGTGGTGAGAGCTCAGTAGGTAGCCAAAGACAGTGAATATATGTGAATACGTTTAGGAATACCTTGCCCGTCTGAAGAAACTACGTAAATCCCTTTCGTTTAGCAAGCATTGGACTCTACGGCTGTGATTGGGTGAAGCTCATCCTGGCCGCTGGAAAATGCTGCAAGAGCGGCAAACATCCGAAAAGCCCATGGTCCCACACAGATAGGGACCTTGGGATTGCAGCTGCACCCAAACGGTACAATGACGCTGCAATGCAAAATGTTGTGAATTATGCGGATTCTCAGCACCAAAGATCAGCTGCAGCACCGAATGATCGCAATGACGGCACCTCAAAAGAGTGACAGCACGGCCTGGCAAAGTGTTTGAAACTCGCAGTGACTCACCGAAAGTTGGTGGCTGAGGAGATAACGTCCGCAAGGTCAGCGAGCCTCTGCGGTGGTTGCACCAAGCCTCAGAAAGGAGCCCCACCTCTTGTCTGACCTGGCCTAAGACTCTACATCCCCGAGCACCTTTGACAGGGTGGGAGGCTACAAACGGCATTTCAGAGAACGATGAGTCACTACTCTATCCACGTCTTCGCTGGGTTGTCCACTCTTTGAACAAACCAGGGATATCTTTCCGTTTGCTCCTTGAGGGTTCCCATTTTGCTGCTGCATCTTTTCAGCGGCGCGTGGTGGATAAGCATGTCACGGCCGGGACACACCTTTGAAACGTTTTTAAGAAGGGCCCGTAATAAGCATTCCAGGGAACCTTAGAAGAAAACCTAAAGCAAACCCACGAGTGCGGACACTGCTCAATGCCTCGGCATTATGAAGCATGCATCGTGCATCCCTTAAGAAAGAGTAAGGCGCCCATCGCTCAGCAGTGCATAGCACCCGTAAAACGCGACATCAACCTGGGCCCTAGCGGGTGGGACCGAAAACGCGGAAGGCTGAGCGTGTGAAGCTATCCTGTCACTTGGTGCCAGTTGGGGCACGGCGCTTCAGGTAGCGCGCGGATCAGGACGAAAGGCATCATTTTCCAGAAACGGGAAGCCCAAAAGATCCAAGGATCACAGGCATTGCGCCTTTTGCCGTGCGAGAGCTTCCCAAAATCCCTTCATGTCAGATCGAACCAGCTTTGGAACATGGCGCAGGAAGTTGCAGATGTTCGAACTAACTGCTTTGAGGCATTAGGCCCAGGATGGCCCACTTGCCTTTTCGTCCTTTTGAAAGGCGCGAAGCGTCACAACAGCACATTCCGCCTGCAGGTCGTTCGGCTGTGACGTCCGCCCTGGCCTTACAGGGCCTGTCGAATTGCTGGCAGGATTCACGATGTTCATCGATGTTCGCCAGCATGCTCTCGAAACGCTGCAGAATCCCAAGCACACGTGACACACGGGATGTCCGGTCTTCAAGATCTACACTTGAAGACTTGGCTTTATGCCAGCTCAGCCAGCGGCACCATATGTTGCTGAGCTGTGGGTGAGATTGTCTTCTCCTCGCAACATGCTCTGGTTCTGCCATTTGTTGTGCACGAGCCTTTCCCTGCTGAGGTTGCGGCTGGAGACTGCGAGTCACCTGAAAAGCACTGCAACGCGCCTTCTCCGCATACGTGTGGGGCACATTGCCTTTATCCGGAGCAGCTTCTTTCTGCTCGGTTGCCAACGCCTGCTTTGGGTCTCACGTGAAAAGCCAACAAAAAACTCACACAATTGTCAAGAGATCCTGCGCAGCAAAAAAGATGCCCAGCATGAAGGGAGGCCTTAGGCGAACAACAAAGCTGGAACTCTTCCCTGCTTTTGCTGCTGTTCATACCATTGTCAGTCCGTTGGTGGCATTCAAGTTTCAAAGGGACTTGCCATAAAATCCGCAACTATCCGCCTACTTTACCAGAATCCGAGGGTCTGCTAAGAAATTGAAGCTCTGCAGGTTTCTTTTAACATGTGGAAACGCCTCCAAACTGGTGTGTTTATTGTACCTTCCCTGCGTTTGGTTGAACGAGCTCACAGCTGGGCTTACATATTTTCATCATGATTTTACTGCGAGAGTTATCTGCGGTCAAACAATTCTCGACCAAATCAAGTGATTGACTCAGCGCTCCACAGTGCTGACAGGAGCAGGCCAAAGCGAAATGCGCCAAACACATCCCGAAATGTGCCTTGAAAAGAAGGAGGCAAAAAAAAAAGTGTTTAGAAGTAGGGCAGCTCTAAGTCACGGACCATACCAGAAAGGACCCACACCAGTACCAACCAGCCTCGTAAGCCGCCCATGCCAAGTTTCTGTCAAGAATCATGACAATGCCAGCACCCTAGGCCATGCAAGATTTCTCTCACCAAGAGTATCAGAAGGAATACTCTGCTGTGTGAGGTTGGGGTAAATAGTCGAACCCAAAGATATGCTTTTGTCAATGCAGCGGAGAGGTCTTTAGACTGTCTTCAACAGAAGGCCGTAGTGTTCACAACCCCCAACAAATGCAACCACTGTCATTGAGACCAACAAGAACATCACAAACAGTTTTCAGCAGTGCTCACGCAGCAACTAGGGGCTGAAATTTGACCTACACGAATTGCTGATAACAGAAATTCGCTTGGTTTGTCGGCACTTGAGGTGGGCACGTCGCCAGCTGGTTGTAACCCAGCACTTGGCCAATCTGCTCCCGACCTGCCATATCCCAAGGCTTCAGTATTCACACGCAGTTTCGAAAGTTGAGCAGCGAACGGACACCCAGCGCCGTGAATGCAAGTCCGGCACTGAGGAGGCTCTGGAAAACTCCTGGCAGGCTACATTGCACTTCGTGGTTGCCCCAGCTCAGTGGCTGAGCAAGCTTTCAACTGGGCTGACCTGTGGTTGAACCGCGAACCACACCATATAGGACAGCAGAAGCTCTGCTGCCAATGCAGGTCAACCTTGCTCATAATGTCATAATGCTTCTCTGCATTCATTTCTCCACGTTCATGCAAATCCCAGGAAAGTGCGCGCTAGGCTATGAATTGTATGTGAGAATGAAGTCTCATTCACTAGGCTTGCTTCAGACATCTGGTTCACCGCCGTTTTTTGCCTAACTGCTCTCCACATGCAGCCGTATGACATAGGCATACCATTATCATACCATCCCATTAACACATCCTTCCTTCCTTCCTTCCTTCCTTCCTTCCCGCCCTCGCTCCCTCCCTCCCTTCTTTCCTTCTTCATCCGGTACTTCTTTTCTTGGCGCTGTCAATCCGCTGCACTTGCCTGAATCCCGTGTGCAATTGTTTCCTGCATTCCTTGCTTTCTCTTCCCTCGCATTTCGATCTACTTTTTTCCGCCCATTGGCAGCATGGCAGTCCAAGGCATTTCTTTGAAAAACCCCCTACCCCTTTCTGTACGATATGAGCACCGGAATAACAACATGCAACATGTAATACTTAATTCAAATTGGACTGGAATTTTTCCACACCGAAGTCAAGCGACTCCTTCCGGACGCTTCCTTTTCATGCCTGCTTCAGATGCCAGTTCCAAGGGGAGTTGGAGACCCAGACCCTTGACGCAAACATTGTCAAAACAAATGACTATGCCCCCGCAGCAGCTGTGGCGTAGCTGAGGCTTTGACCATGATGTTGCAATTGCCGTCACAAAGCCGGCGGCTGCCAATAGCACCTTCAGCTCAAGAAAGTCAATGTCACCTCGCCTTATAAATTGTAGCATGTGCTGAGGTATGCACTATTGGAAGGCGTTTATGTGTTCGGCCTGTAGCGTTTCTCGGTCAGGCCAACTCCACATCGAGCTTGCGTCAAGGACTGCCAAACATCACGCACGCATACCACCATGGAATCAAGAAATTGTGCAGAGACATAATCGTTTTTTCTTGTGGTCACCGAGTCGGGTAGAGCTCATGTACACAGCCGCGCACTTGGTTTTCCTGCACACACATTCAGCAGCCTGTGGAAAATGTCAGTGTGGAGCGTGCACAGGCGCCATCTGCAGCAAAGCTGACCGAATGGGAGGCTGCTGGCGCTGGACTGGGAATCCCTCGATGCCAGCGTCTCGAGCAGCTCGTATATCACTGTGAGTGCATTGTGCGCAGCAGCTCAGGCGGGTATGTGAAACGTCTCTTTTGCATCATGTGTTGCGCACCCCCTTTCCACGGTCTCTAATTGTCTGGGACAACCATGTCTAATTGCCCGGGACAACTGGGTGAGCATCGGGCGACGCTTTATCTGGGCCAGGAGCTGCCTGCAATGTAAACTTTGAAGCTTGAATTCTGGAATCCTCAACCTGTTCGGAAATGTTTTGGGCGGCCGAGGTTGTGGGGACCCTTGGAAATTGCATGCAATGCTTGCCTGCGCACCAGCGCATACCAGCACCCGTTTCGTACGTTCCCCAAGGCTAAACAACATGTCAACGCTGGTGTTTTCCTACACTGCAAACTGCAATTCAAAGCCAATTAGGGTCAAGCTCCATGCGTCCATGAGCTCACCGACCTGAGCACGTAAAATCCACATCTGGGACCGAACCCTATATGCCACAAAGGCCGCGACAAGTGGGGTTGAAACCGCTGCTGTCAGAGCCATAGGACCAAATATGAAGATGGACCTGGGGATGGCATTGCGACAGCACGACTCGTGTCAGGCTCATGCAGCGCTGGGAACCACGCACGTCAAGCTCTTCTTGCCATGCCTCTAATCGGGGCTGGCATCATGGCTTCCAGCTTGCAACTTTAGGCCTCGGAGGTCATCTCCACCATGTAAAAATCCTGGGTCTTCACTATTCTTCGTCGCTTTTCAGCGAGTACATTGGCCCAAGTTGATCCAAGGCTCACTGCCGCCGAACATGACGGCATAGAAAAAAGTGAAAGCAAATTGTGGCCACAGGTCTCGAATTTCGCGATCTTTGCCAGAAGGTGCCTCGCCCGCAAACATCACAGCATATCACAGCAAATCCTGAGATCTCACAGGTACATGCCTCGCTGGCACCTTTCATGCTAACAGCCTCCATCTCCTCTTCGAGCAAAACATTGTTGGAAATAGCATGGAGGCACCTGTGCCCCGAACTGCTTTCCCATTCACAAAACTCCTCATCAGCCGCAACGGCTGTCCAACCATCTGGTTGCAGGCCACACGCCTGCTGTCATCGTTGCAAAGTCAGCGTGTCCAGATTTAGACCTAGAGGGTCAAACCACGCGTACTTCAGACAGCATGCGCGCAAATACTCATGCTTCTGGTACGCAAGTCAATTCGTCCAAACATCCGAATGTTCCTCAGGGCTTCGTCGCAACAGAGTTGCGGAGATTGGCGCCAAAAGCATATTTGCGATTGAACCCGCCTCAGGAATCTGTTTTAGTTGATGCTGGTGAGTATGCTCTTTCAATCACTGAGACCGGCTCCAGCGCAGCTCTTTGCCAACCATAGCTTGCAACGGTGCTGGAGACCTGCGCAACTTCACCGACAGCAGACGCGTCGGTCGTGTTTTTTTCACGAATGAAAAACGCGCGCTTGGGATTGCTGCAGGAAGCTACAACCGAAAACATAAAATGAATCAAGGTCACTGAGCTCCACGCGATTGGTCCAGCAAACGCATTCCCAAGCCATTGAAATGTAAACACAACCTCGCCAAATCATGCGTGCTTGATGCCGTCTGGTGATGGAGGAATTCCTCAACTAAGCTGGAAAACTGAGTCACTCACACCTACTGCGCGCCCACGCCGTCGCTGAAACCACTGCCTGAAACTCAATGCCACCACACGTGGTGAACAAATACTACGGGCACAACAAACACCACTTCAATCTGTAGTTCGCATAGGGAAGCACTGCACGCAAGTGTTTGGAAATGTTTCTGCTGCCCCAAGAGAAAGTGTCCGCAAGAAAAAGAAGACGAACACCACCTGGCAGAAGCAGTTTGGGACCAATGCATTCAATAGTCTACTGCTGTGGCCTCGCTGTACAGCACCCACCTGACACACAAAAACCCAAGTTGCTACGTTGGAAGGAACTTAAGACGCTGAACATCCGGTCCTTCTCGTTGGGCGTGTCCAGGCAGCGAAAAGTAACAAGGCACCACAAAGGGCTACCTGCATGACTCGTGCGGGCAGCTTTACCATCTTGCGGCAGCAACGCTCACTGTCATCAGGAAGCCACCACACAACAAGGCACAACGCAACACTCCCGTTCCATCTTGCCTGCATCATGGGTATGCACACTCTGGCTCCATACTTGTCAATTGCACGGCCCAGCCTCATGCATGTCCATCGATTGTTCACCATCTTTTAAATTTGTGAATAGAAGGTAGCCATGCATTCGTAAGCAAAGGGTGCGGCAGTGGCTGAACAAAGCCAGCCAGGATTGTAGCCACGGAGAAAAGACCACCCAGCTCGGCATGCGACAACTGAAAATCCTGCCACATTTGGCAGTATTTGCGCTCACATGCAATCTCAAAACTTGCTGGCCTGCAACAAGTGGGGCACCTGGCTGCTACCCAGGCTTGCGATGCATGCCATTGCTTCCAAAAGCGAGCATGCGCGCAAAAAAATGCTGACGTCGAGACCGTGTACGACATGACATTGTTTTGGCCCTGCGCAACACGACGCAGAGAGGGAGGTGGGTACATGCTGCATGGTTCGCCGGCCTGCACCTTGAATATCTTGCAGAAAATGCACACGCCCACAATCACCCAGCCATAGAAAATGCAGCGCAGCTGGCGGGCACCATTCGGCTCGAAGTGGCCTTTCGCCTTCGCTGCAAGGCCTGCCACTTCACCAACGATGCCCATCCAAACCAGCTGGATTCAGCCACCAAACGGCCGAAATGGGCATATGTACATGGCAATCCCTGTTCTTTTTTTCCTTGGAGTTTTTCATGCAATGACATGTAGAAATGTCATCTTATTCCTGTAGGCCAAGAAGAGGATTAATTAGTCAAGCTGCATGTGCACCTCAACAAAATTGGCCTGCGAATAGCACCCGCATGAGCAGTCACTTGCAGTCAAAAAATGCGGCCACATGCGAACCATCATGTCATGTCTACCTGGGCTGAGACGCTCGGTACTGCGGCCTGATAACAGAATGCACGCAATCAATCTAAATTACGGACTCCGGCCTGAGAACAGAATGCACGCCTTCAATGTAAACCACGGACTCCCACCGTAATTAGCAAGATATCATTTCATGATATTTCATGCACACCCTTAGGGAAGGCAGCCTCGGCGGCCAGCCGTGCCTTCACCTCCATATTGTTGCTCCGAGGTCCAAACAAACTCTTGCTGAGATCCGTGACCCTCAGCCCGCTTAGCCAAGCCGTCCTCAACTATGGTTATGCCTCCTGAGCATGGCCCGTTGCCTGAGCACTTGTTCCTCGCATGCCTGCAGGGGGTGGGAGTGGGCGCTGCAGAATGGCACTGGGGAACAATGATTGAACACGTCTGTCTCTTATAGGGTCCGGTTGAATGGGCCATCCTGCACCAAGCAGCCACGGCTCGCCAACGCCAACATCCCACAGCCCGTGCTTGATGTAAATCCAACGGCCGCAAACGCGAGCTCGTTGTTGGCGATGCCATGCGAGGCCTTTCGGCGCCTGGTTGCCATTCGTTGCCCGCTCCTTCGCCCAGCGTATCGCCGATGTTTTCCAAGGTGCCTGCTCGCCATTCCAATGCACTTGCCGTGGCACCAACGCCCCACAGAATGAGACCCCGGGAAACCGTCCTTTCGGCCAGTAATGCCACTTGGGGCATGGCACTGTTGACAGTGGCCACAAGCACGAGAGGCAGGACTCTCATGTGTCCCAATCTCAGCTTGGCCGGCACGAACCTTGACGTGCCGCTGCAAGACCGCTGCGGCAAAGGGCCCATGCCGTTGTGGATCTAGCGTTTGGGTTTGTCAAACGCATTCGATGGGATTGGCCGGCGGGCATTTCGGTGCGCGTTAGCTTTTCCATGTGGAACCGACCAGCAACCCCAAACAACTGCTGGCCACTCTCTCAATTATTGTGGTGTTTTCACCTTACTGCGGACATTTGCGGACAGCTGTCTTGGTGGCAGAAATCCGCCCTCACCTTCAGCGCGTTGGGTTTCCCAGCTGTTTTGTGTGCTAGCTGCTAGCTGTTTTTGGTTAGTAAGCGCCATCCGCGTAACCGAGCGAGTTGCTTAAAATTCGCCACGCGACTTCCTTCCCTGAAAGGATTCCAATGGCAACACGAAAATCGCTGTTGAATTCCAAGCAATTCTGATATTCCTCGCTGATGGTTATTTATGGGCTAAAGAAGGTTTTAATGCCAGTCGACATGTGCGGCTGGGATGTGAGGCGCATTTTGCTGGCACGCACATCTTTGGTGCTGAGACTCGCGTGCATGATGAACCGGATTGCAATCGAAGTTGCCTTTGGCACTATGCGAGTGTTGCGGCCCGGGTTGTCAGTTGCCAAACCAACTTTTCAATGAGTTTCCGCAACGCCAAATCTCTTGTTACTCTGTGGGGGCGGGTCCGCGCAACGAACTCACACCAAAGAATTCTGTAATTAATAATGAACGTCAAATTGATTACCTTATTGATTTCGCAATTTTTCGATTTTGCCACGCACTCGCGCCCCCGCACAGGTCTGCTCGCCAGGCGGGCAAAGATCGTGGAGCATACCTGGGTGCGTGTCGCGCGCGAGGCGCTGGGAGCGGATGGCCAGGTTATCCCCCAGCAGTGGCTCGCACACACTACAGCCCCAGACGTTGGAGCAGAAGATCGCCGGAGGCTTGACCTCCTCGTGTACGGAGCCACACCGCACGGCGGCGCGTTGTGCTGCGACGCCACGCTTGCATCCCCGCTCATGCGGACTGGGCACCTGCAGCCATGCACCGCTACCATCGACGGAGCCGCGCTGCGAGTGGCCGAGCGACGCAAGCACGCCGCGTACCCAGAGCTTGCGTGTGCGGGGACGCAAAAGCTCGTCGTCCTCGGCTTAGAGTTAAGCGGCCGGTGGAATGGGGGGGCACGCAGCTTCGTCCGCTGGTGCGAGTGAGAGCCCATCGAGCCAAACGGTCGCCAGCACAGCATTGGGCGGTCCCTGGCAGCAGCCCCTCCGGCCAGGAGCCTGCGAGGGCCCGCCGCTGGATGTTGTGCTGCAGTGGACCGACCCTGTCGGCCCCAACCGCTTGCCTTTGTGGCCCTGAGCTGGCAGCCGGTAGCGGTAGCTGGCGTACCACAAGCCTCTGTGGATCAGGTGTAAAAAGGTCCGTGGAAAAAAATTATTGCATGGACTTGCCGTGCCCTTGGCCACGCACCTCTTTTGCCTTCTTGCACCTGCAATATTAGCGGTTGGGTAGCGGCAATCGGCTAGCAGCCGGACCCGCCTGCCAGAGCGCGTCTGCCGGCACCGCGTGGAGGTCAGGCACGCCCCGGCCAACGGCAACTCGAGTAGCGAGCTTGCAAAGGCGCGCTGCGCGGCGATTGCCAACAAGCCGGCCCATCGCGCGACCCACGCTGCCTGCGCCGCCAGGCGGAGCGCCGCCGGCATACCATCAGCACGGTGGCGTGCCAGCATGCGCAGCACGCGCGCTGCTTCTGCACCAAAGCGGCCGCCGACGTCCACGCCGACGACGACCAAGCGGCAGCGCCGGCGCGCCAACTCGGGGTACGTCTGCGTCCTCTTGCGGTGTGCAGCGGCATCAATTTTAACGGCTTGCCCCGGGACGGGCATCAGCCCCAAGTTGCGCCTAAGCTGTCTGCAACAACCTCAGTGCGGCGTGCATCGACCACCTGCACGCCGGCACATTTGGTGTCTGCCACGATGAACATTGGAAAATCATGACGGCCCTGCGAAATATGGACATATTTTTCCCGAATGCGTAGCAGAAGGGTTCCCGTTTTAAAGTTGGGGTCCAGGGGTCCAGGAGGCGACACGAGGTCGTTGCGTTTATGTCCGCCAAGCGTCCGCAAGCGTTCGCAAGCGTTCGCAAGCGTCCGCGAGTGTCGGAGAGTGTCGGAGA